GACGGCGCTAGAATTTTGGCGTAGATCAGGGTTTGGACACTCACCGAAAGCCATGATCAGGGGAAGACCCTGAAAGGGTTAAGGAGACATTAAGAAGAGCTTTTAAGGGAGAATCTAAAGAAGAGCTCGCTCCTGTGATCAGCTACAAGACAAGCTTTCTCTTGGGCTCATTTTCAATAATCTCTCATATATAATATTTAATTTCCCAAGGGCTTACAGAGAGTGCATATAAATGCTGTACTTTTTCAGTGTACAAAAAGAATTTTTAAAAACAAAATATATCTAATGGTTCACAGTGATTTCTTACCCCCTAATGTGAATTTATTAAGAGGGTAATAATGTTTTATACGGTTCCATATTCTTGCCTTTTTTTTAAAACCCTTTCCTGTCGCAAGCCCTTTTCTAAACATCCTACGTCAAAAAATTTTCGAAAAAAAAAAAAAAAATGATTTTTTTTTTACCAAAATTTTTGGGATTATTTTCCCAAATTGTTTTAAGCCTAAAAATTTTTTTTTGTGATCATTTTACTGAGATATAGAGAAAAAGTTGCAAAAAATGGCCACTAAGCAACAGCCGATCCCACTCACCGGTAAATTTTTTTTTACCCCCATTCAAAGGTTTTTTGCTTTTTTTCCCTACTTTATTTTTTCAGGAAACAAACTGTCCTGCGAGCCCAAAAGAAAAGTTCAATGGCATTATATAATTTTTTGTAACAACACAATAAGCACACAAACAAAATTTATCAATATATTTTTTCCCAAAACTTCTTTACACAAATACAAGTTTTTTTTTTACTTTGTTCTATAAATATATACAAGTGTATTTTTTAAAGTTACTCTTGAAACTGGTTTTTATACACAAGGTGTTTTACACTCCTCACGCATAAAACAGTGCTTGATTTTTGTGAGCATTTTTTTTTTTTTTTTATTTGTACTGACAAAAACAATCGCTGAGCGTTTTTTTAAATTAGCAGGACAGTTTGTTAGGTAGTTATCTAAGTAAATGGTCCTGTGTTTACATTTCCCTTCCTACCTACCACCTTTCTTTTTTTCTTCATTCTTCCTTTCTTTATTTTTTTTTTTCTTTATTCTTTCTTTTTTCATTCTTTCTTTTTTCATTCTTTCTTTCTTTTCCTTTCTCTTTCTTTCTTTCTTTCTTTCTTCTGGGGATCCCGGGCATTGCTTTCGGTCACAAATCCTCAAAAACCCTGAAAATTTTCTTCACTGACACTTCCATCTGTGCTGATCTACCTTGGGAAAGGGAAAAGGCCCCCGTTTCACTGGGGGGTCAAATATTTTTTTCCACAGGCATGCTGAATACTGAAAAGGCATTCCCACAAAAGCACACTGGTTCCCCCCATTTTTTTTTTTTTTAATGGCACACTGACCCTGGGGACCATTCTCTCACAATGCGCCTACCGCTTTTTCCCCCTTGATCTAAAGTGCTAGAAATTTTGCGTATTAATATGTTGGAAAAACTGGCTTGTAAGACGATATATACATGCCGAAACATGTAAGCGTTAAGTAATATTAAACAACAGTGAAAAAAAATCTTCAATGTTGGCAGAACTATGTTATAACCTGTTCTACTGAATGCCAATATTTTATATATATATATGCACCCCAGGATACTAAATACAGCGCTTGGAATGTCCAACTACTGACCTGATTTCATACTGGTATATGAAGCCTGACATAATTCAAATCTGTAGTGGAGGGAAGGTAGGATCGGGGTCATCCTAGGGGAAAAAAGGGATGGAGGGAGGCCGCAAAGGGCTAGGACATACAACAGCATGTGTGAGTGTGGTTAGATCAGGAGTGAATGGAGAAAATGGTTTCTGGAACTTGACTGCTGTTGGAATATGAGCAGGTTAATATTTTTAAGGTATTCAGGGAAAACAGTTAGCCAACTGAGTCCTGCAGGAGGAAGTACAATGCCTACAACAATAAAGGAGGGGTTTGGGGATATCTGCTGTTCACAGTGATTCATACTGTTGTATGTGTGTTGCCTCTGGCATGACGTGATAGTGTGAATGATGGTGACAGTGTTTCTTTTTTGGGCCACCCTACCTGGTGGGAGACAGCCAGGGTGTAAAAAATAATAAATAAAATATAGCATTCATATCTATTAGTAGACCATTTAAATGAGACCTTAATCCAAACTACTGTAACAGTAATAAAAAGAAACATGTCAGATAGATAGCATTTTACTTCACCTGAGAACCTTGGTGGTTTGAAACACAGTTTTTCCAAAGTGTCAATATTTGGTGTGCAAAGATTGGTGGAACATCTTGCATCGCTTCAGCAACATTATAATTTTATAACTGAATCAGATAGATGTACACATACATATAATTATTAGTATTATTATTATACTGGAATAGTTTGGATTACTGACAAGTATGGTGAAATGGATACTATTTACAGACAAAATCTTAAATCGTACAGTATTGAGGGCTGTGGCTTTCCACTGATTTTTTAATATCTCCAATGTGTTCAAAGGCGCCAATCACAATGT